AGCAGGGCACTATGAGGCATGTGAGGAACGGATTGGAGGCAATGCTTGGGGTATGCGTTTGGATGGGGTTTTGGGACCAGGAATAAAGTACAGGTCAATGATTCCCGTGAGTCTGAGTCAAGTCGATACATTACACTGGGTAACTTTCATAAGGCCCTCAAAATTGTCAAAGACTAATAAAAAAGTGGTCAGATGACGCAGATGCTAAGCTACAGGACTGTTTTGCTAGCACAGACTGGAACATGTTCCGGGATACTTCAGATAGCATTGAGGAGTACACCACATCAGTCACTGGCTTCATCAATAAGTGCATCGATGACGTCATCCCCACAGTGACCATACGTACATACCCCAACCAGAAGCCATGGATTACAGGCAACATCCGCACTGAGCTAAAGGGTAGAGCTGCCGCTTTCAAGGAGCGGGACCCATCAAACAGGCAAAGAGTCAATACAGGACTAAGATTGAATCGTACTACACCGGCTCTGACGCTCGTCGGATGGGGCAGGGCTTGAAAACTATTACAGACTACAAAGGGAAGCACAGCTGCGAGCTGCCCAGTGACACAAGCCTACCAGACGAGCTAAACCACTTCTATGCTCGCTTCGAGGTAAGCAACACTGAAGCATGCATGAGAGCACCAGCTGTTCCGGATGACTATGTGATCACGCTCTCCGTAGCCGATGTGAGTAAGACTTTTAAGCAGGTCAACATTCACAAGGCCGCAGGGCCAGACGGATTACCAGGATGTGTACTCCGAGCATGTGCTGACCAACTGGCAAGTGTCTTCACCGACATTTTCAACATGTCCCTGACTGAGTCTGTAATACCAACATGATTCAAGCAGACCACCATAGTCCCCGTGCCCAAGGACACTAAGATAACCTGCCTAAATGACTACCGACCCGTAGCACTGATGTCTGTAGTCATGAAGTGCTTTGAAAGGCTTGTCATGGCTCACATCAACACCATTATCCCAGAAACCCTAGACCCACTCAAATTTGCATACTGCCCCAACAGATCCACAGATGATGCAATCTCTATTGCACTCCACACTGCCCTTTCCCACCTGGACAAGAGGAACACCTATGTGAGAATGCTATTCATTGACTACAGCTCAGCGTTCAACACCATAGTGCCCTCAAAGCTCATCACTAAGCTAAGGACCCTGGGACTAAACACCTCCCTCTGCAACTGGATCCTGAACTTCCTGAAGGGCCGCCCCCAGGTGGTAAGGGTAGGTAACAACACATCTGCCACGCTGATCCTCAACACAGGGGCCCCTCAGGGGTGCGTGCTCAGTCCCCTCCTGTACTCCCTGTTCACCCATGACTGCATGGCCGGGCACGACTCCAACACCATCATTAAGTTTGCCGATGACACAACAGTGGTAGGCCTGATCACCGACAACAATGAGACAGCCTATAGGGAGGAGGTCAGAGAACTGGCAGTGTGGTGCCAGGATAACAATATCTCCCTCAACGTGACCAAGACAAAGCAGATGATTGTGGACTACAGGAAAAAAAAGAGGACTGAGCACGCGCCCATTCTCATCGACGGGGCTGTAGTGGAACAGGTTGAGAGCTTCAAGTTCCTTGGCATCCACATCACCAACGAACTATCATGGTCCAAACACACCAAGACAGTCGTGAAGAGGGCACGACAAAGCCTATTCTCCCTCAGGAGACTGAAAAGGTTTGGCATGGGTCCTCAGATCCTCAAAAATCCTCTACAGCTGCACCATCGAGCGCATCCTGACTGGTTGCATCACCGCCTGGTATGGCAACTGCTCGGCCCTCGACCGCAAGGCACTACAGAGGGTAGTGCGTACGGCCCAGTACATCACTGGGGCCAAGAGTCCTGCCATCCAGGACCTCTATACCAGGCGGTGTCAGAGGAAGGCCCTCAAAACTCCAGCCACCCTAGTCATAGACTCTCTGCTACCGCATGGCAAGCGGTACCGGAGCGCCAAGTCTAGGTCCAAAAGGCTTCTCAACAGCTTCTACCCCCAAGCCATAAGAGTCCTGAACAGCTAATCATGGCTACCCAGACTATTTGCACCCCCACCCCATCTTTTTACGCTGCTGCTACTCTGTTAATCTGTCAATTAAACCCTACCCACATGTACAGTGGGGAAAAAAAGTATTTAGTCAGCCAACAATTGTGCAAGTTCTCCCACTTAAAAAGATGAGAGAGGCCTGTACTTTTCATCATAGGTACACGTCAACTATGACAGACAAATTGAGAAAAAAAATTCCAGAAAGTCACATTGTAGGATTTTTTATGAATTTATTTGCAAATTATGGTGGAAAATAAGTATTTGGTCAATAACAAAAGTTTCTCAATACTTTGTTATATACCCTTTGTTGGCAATGACACAGGTCAAACGTTTTCTGTAAGTCTTCACAAGGTTTTCACACACTGTTGCTGGTATTTTGGCCCATTCCTCCATGCAGATCTCCTCTAGAGCAGTGATGTTTTGGGGCTGTCGCTGGGCAACACGGACTTTCAGATTTTCTATGGGGTTGAGATCTGGAGACTGGCTAGGCCACTCCAGGACCTTGAAATGCTTCTTACGAAGCCACTCCTTCGTTGCCCGGGCGGTGTGTTTGGGATCATTGTCATGCTGAAAGACCCAGCCACGTTTCATCTTCAATGCCCTTGCTGATGGAAGGAGGTTTTCACTCAAAATCTCACGATACATGGCCCCATTCATTCTTTCCTTTACACGGATCAGTCGTCCTGGTCCCTTTGCAGAAAAACAGCCCCAAAGCATGATGTTTCCACCCCCATGCTTCACAGTAGGTATGGTGTTCTTTGGATGCAACTCAGCATTCTTTGTCCTCCAAACACGACGAGTTGAGTTTTTACCAAAAAGTTATATTTTGATTTCATCTGACATTCTCCCAATCCTCTTCTGGATCATCCAAATGCACTCTAGCAAACTTCAAACGGGCCTGGACATGTACTGGCTTAAGCAGGGGGACACGTCTTGCACTGCAGGATTTGAGTCCCTGGCGGCGTAGTGTGTTACTGATGGTAGGCTTTGTTACTTTGGTCCCAGCTCTCTGCAGGTCATTCACTAGGTCCCCCCGTGTGGTTCTGGGATTTTTGCTCACCGTTCTTGTGATCATTTTGACCCCACGGGGTGAGATCTTGCGTGGAGCCCCAGATCGAGGGAGATTATCAGTGGTCTTGTATGTCTTCCATTTCCTAATAATTGCTCCCACAGTTGATTTATTCAAACCAAGCTGCTTACCTATTGCAGATTCAGTCTTCCCAGCCTGGTGCAGGTCTACAATTTTGTTTCTGGTGTCCTTTGACAGCTCTTTGGTCTTGGCCATAGTGGAGTTTGGAGTGTGACTGTTTGAGGTTGTGGACAGGTGTCTTTTATACTGATAACAAGTTCAAACAGGTGCCATTAATACAGGTAACGAGTGGAGGACAGAGGAGCCTCTTAAAGAAGAAGTTACAGGTCTGTGAGAGCCAGAAATCTTGCTTGTTTGTAGGTGACCAAATACTTATTTTCCACCATAATTTGCAAATAAATTCATTAAAAATCCTACAATGTGATTTTCTGTTTTTTTCCTCTCAATTTGTCTGTCATAGTTGACGTGTACCTATGATGAAAATTACAGGCCTCTCTCATCTTTTTAAGTGGGAGAACTTGCACAATTGGTGGCTGACTAAATACTTTTCCCCCCCACTGTACATATTACCTCAACTACCTCAACTAGCCGGTGCCCCCGCACATTGACTCTGCACCGGTACCCCCCTGTATATAGCCTCCCTACTGTTATTTTATTTTACTTCTGCTCTTTTTTTCTCAACACTTTTTGTTGTTGTTTTATTTTACTTTTTTATTAAGAAATAATTGCATTGTTGGTTAAGGGCTGTAAGTAAGCATTTCACGGTAATGTCTACACCTGTTGTATTTGGCGCATGTGGCAAATAAAATTTGATTTGATTTGATTTGGAAGGAACTTGTGTTGGGAGAGAGTTTAGTTATTGTCTAGACTGCAGGTGGCTCGGGCTGGTTGGTCTGTCTGGCTGAAATTTGATATAGAGGATGTCTTAATAAAGACAATCAAAAGTCTTTGTATTTTTTCAAGAGTTGATCATTTGTTAGGCTATTTTTATTATTTAATTACATTTGATCTAGTTCAGTCTTATTAATCACTTAAACATATTTAATAATGATCTCTTACCTAGCTTGATGACTGTGGGCATTTTTGCTTCCTTTTTGTTCTAAATAGAGACGTCATATTGGATTGTGTAAAAATGCAGGACATTAGCTTTAGATGCCTCCAGACCCTCCGCCAGGTTATGTTCCCCCCCACTTCTAAAACCAAAGATCATATTGGTTGAAAAGTTTTTTTTTTTCTCAGACAGGGGGTAATTATTTTACACAATTTCGGATATATTACATACCATAACTGCTTTTTATTCCAATTAGACTGGTTTGCATTTCTTCCTGACCACAATGGCTGCCATTTTCATACCATTCTGAAACTTTGAGGGTTTATGACATAGCCCCTCTATTAATTTCAATGCTAAGTACAGTATTACTGGTGTGCCATAAGGTCCAAACCACTTTGCAGAGGTATTTTGACCAATCACACTATGTAGGCTACAGTCACAGTAGTTCCACGAAACAGTGATTTGTGAACATCTGAAGTGTTATTGATCTTCAGCCCTGATATTTAGATATCACAAGATACGTGTCTCATTACTGGAAAAACAAAACAAGGCATGCTCTCCACAAGCCCCACATTAATTAACATAAAAATATATATGCTCCCCCAGATCAACGCACAATACATTTGTTTGTCTGGTGTTGGTATATTTTTCATCAATACAATTGAATGTTTTAAATCCAGTCACTGATGCATTGCGATTGATGAGTTCAATTTGATACCACAAACAACATCTATTCTAGAGATTACGGTAAGAGAATATTAGACCCTCCTCCACTGAGTAATGTTCATGAATGTGCAAAGCTCCTCTTCGCTCTCTTATCATCAGCAGCATAATGCAACGGAGGAGTAACGAAAAAATGTAAACTATAGCTGTTATTGCCAATTCACAGACATGAAAGAGGAATATTGTGCTCCTCCAAATCCTTAGAACAATTTCCCATGATGAGAATTCATTGCAAAGTTGTTGTGATCGCTGTCTGTTTTGGAGTTTTTCTACTTTTGTACTTTTTGGGGGGGAATGCTGCAGACGATCCGCCTTTGAAAGAAGTTGCGGAGGATTACTATTTAACAACGTCCTCTGGGCTTGGAAACATTGTTGCATCAAAGTTAACAAAAAAGCCTCACATAACACAGAAACAACCACTCACGGACCGAAAAGAAGTGAAAGTAGTCAGTAGAGGAGGCAATGCGATCGCAAAGCGGTAAGTAATTTTCGACCATTGCTTGTTAATGTTGATGTGATTTATTGGCGTTCTCCACGCCTATTTTTTTTCCATCAACCTTTTGGCACACATTTTAAAGACGTAAGATGTCTCAAAAGTAATGTAGGGATTTTTTGCACTTTTATTCTACGGATTGCATTAATATCTGCTTACCGATATGGTTTCTTTTGTTCCTTTTGGAAGTTGTGGAATGAGTCCACACGTATCCTTTCTCTATTCATTCAGGAAGACGTGCTCCCCCCATAAAAACATACATAGGCTCAAATCTCAATTATGGTCAAGGACGTTGGCAACAAACAATGGTTTGATCTGTCATGAGAGGACTAAACCTGCAATTGTCATACAAATCAAATTTTTATTATCACAGGTATTTATTTTAATGACTGATCAATGTATTGATGAGATTTATTGCAAAGGTATTGGCACATAATGCATGTCATCTCTCACCTATTCGGTGAGTTGGGTGCATATTTGATCCCATGATGAGCTCAAATAATTGTCTGTATACCGGTTTAAGAAAAAGGCTCGATTGTAAAAATAATTGTCGTTTTGTGGGGTTTATCCCTTTAAGTCCTGTGGTTAACGGGTTTAAAGGTCACCTTGAGAGGGCTCCAAGGAGACCCACTGATTACACTGCTGGGGATTGACGAGCATACACTTACATATCTTTTAGAATTAAACTCACATACAGGACCTACGCCTTCAAGTCAAGGTGCTAAACTACTCCAACTTTAGAATATGATGTGTGTTTGATGTCATGTCCCTTCAAAGTAAACAAGCCGTTCTAGACAAATATACACTGAACAAAAATATAAACGTAACATGTTGGTTTCATGAGCTGAAATAAAAGATCCCAGACATTTTTCATACGCACAAAAAGCTTATTTCTCTAAAATGATGGCCACAAATTTGTTTCAATCCCTGTTAGGGAGCATTTCTCCTTTGCCAAGATAATCCATCCACCTGACAGGTGTGGCATATCAAGAAGCTGATTAAACAGCATGATCATTACACAGGTGTACCTTGTGCTGAGGACAATAAAAGGTCACTCTAAAATGTGCAGTTTTGTCACAACACAATGCCACAGATGTCTCATGTTTTTGAGGGCGTGTGCAATTGGCATGCTGACTGCAGGAATGTCCACCAGAGCTGTTGCCAGAGAATTGAATGTTACTTTCTCTACCATAAGCCACCTCCAACGTCGTTTTAGAGAATCTGGCAGTATGTCCAATCGGCCTCACAACCGCAGACCATGTGTAACCACACCAGCCCAGGACCTCCACATCCGGCTTCTTTACCTGCGGGATCGTCTGAGACCAGCCACCCGGACAGCTGATTAAACTGTGGGTTTGCGCAACCGAATAATTTCTGCACAAACTGTCAGAAACCGTCTCAAGGAACCTAATCTGCGTGCTCGTCGTCCTCACCAGGGTCTTGACCTGACAACATTCCACAGGCCACAATCAACAGCCTGATCAACTCTATGCGAAGGAGATGTGTTGCGCTGCATGAGGTAACCAACAGATGCATATCTGTATTCCCATTGAAATGTGAAATTCATAAATTAGGGCCTAATACATTTATTTCAATTGACAGATTTTCTTATGAACTGCAACTCAGTAAAATCTTTCAAATTGTTGCATTTTATATTTTTGTTCAGTTTAGATGACCTCAACTACTGGTCAAAACAGTCTGAACACGTGAATGTGTCATCCCATGCGCTCATTCCCTCTTTCCTGTGCCTTGCAGACAATAACTAGGAAATGGTTTATCGTCTTTGACTATTTGTGTCTCCTATTATAGTCTTCCTTCTGTCAGGCTATCACTGATATGATAATATAGCCCATATTTGATAGTCTAAAGGCAATGCTTTCTGTTGTAAAGCTTGCTTTCACCTCCAGCGTTTCCCAAATTCGGTCCTCGGGACCCCAAGAGGTGCCCGTTTTGGTTTTTGCCCTAACACTACACAGCTGATTCAAATTATCAAAGGTTGATGATTAGTTGATTATTTGAATCAGCTGTGTAGTGTTAGGGCAAAAACCAAAACGTGCACCCTTTGGGGTCCCGAGGACCGAGTTTGGGAAACCCTGCCCTACACTGTCCTGTTTGATCAGTGATTTGGTTGGAAGCATTTATAAAGCATTCAGACAGGACCATAGTGTCCTGGCAGTGACCACACCCACACATGTGTCCCTCTACTGATAAGAGAAATGGGGTGAAAAGGTGACGGTGATGGAGGAAAATGACTAAAGCAGGTTTCACAAACATAACGCTCTGATATTGAAATTAACTGCACATCTCCCTTAGCTTTAGACCCTTTACCATTGGTTCTGGTGAAAGGGAGGGATAGAATTGCCATAAGATAAATGCTATTATGTTGTCTTGGTTACTCTTTCCTGCTCATCATTGTTTGTGGAATTTCCCCACATATTTCTCAGGCAAGTGAAAATTGTACATATATTTACATTTGAGTCATTTAGCAGACGCTCTTATCCAGAGCAACTTACAGTTAGTGAGTGCATAAATTTTTCATACATATATGATACTGTCGTCACAACAAACACTTGTCTTCATCATCTGGAATATTGTAAAATAGTGTGCCCTGAGCACAATCAAATGTATTTATAAAGCCCTTTTTACATCAGCAGATGTCACAAAGTGCAATTCAGAAACCCAGCCTAAAACCCCAAAAAGCAACTAATGCAGATGTAGAACCATGGTGGCTATGAAAAACTCCCTAGAAAAGCAGGAACCTAGGAAGAAACCTAGAGAGGAACCAGGCTCTGAGGGGTGGCCAGTCCCCTTCTGGCTGTGCCGGGTGGAGATTATAACAGTACATGGCCATTAAGGCCAGATTGTTCTCCAAGATGTTCATAGATGACCAGCAGGGTCAGATAATAATCACAGTGGTTGTAGAGGGTGCAACAGGTCAGTACCTCAGGAGTAAATGTCAGTTGGCTTTTCATAGCCGAGCATTCAGGGGTCGAGACAACAGGTGCGCTAGAGAGAGAGTCGAAAACAGCAGGTCTGGGACAAGGTAGCACGTCCGGTGAACAGGTCAGGGTTCCCTAGCCGCAGGCAGAACAGTTGAAACTGGAGCCGCAGCACGACCAGGTGGACTGGGGACAGCCAGGAGTCATCAGGCCAGGTAGTCCTGTGGCATGGTCCTAGAGCTCAGGTCCTTCGGGAGGGGAGGGAGAGAAAATTAGAGGGAGCATACTTAAATTCACACAGGACACCAGATAAGACAGGAGAATAACACCAGATATAACAGACTGACCCTAGCCCCCTGGCACATAGACTATTGCAGCATAGATACTGGAGACTGAGACAGGGGTGGGTTGGGGGACACTGTGGTCCCATCCGACGATACCCCGGGACAGGGCCAACCAGGCAGGACATAACCCCACCCGCTTTGCCAAAGCACAGCCCCCACACCACTAGAGGGTGACGCACCCCTTCTAGGGACGGTATGGAAGAGCACTAGTAAGCCAGCAGACAATCCCAGTGGAGAGAGGGGAGCGGGCCAGGCAGAGACAGCAAGGGCAGTTCGTCGCTCCAGTGCCTTGCCGTTCACCTTCGCACCCCTGGGCCAGACTACACTCAATCATAGGACCTATGGAAGAGATGAGTCTTCATTAAAGACTTAAAGGTCGAGACCGAGACTGCGTCTCTCACATGGAGCTCTATAGGAGAAAGCCCTGCCTCCAGCTGTTTGCTTTGAAATTCTAGGGACAATAAGGAGGCCTGCGTCTTGTAACCGTAGCGTACGTGTAGGTATGTACAGCAGGACCAAATCGGAGAGATAGGTAGGAGCAAGCCCATGTAATGCTTTGTAGGTTAGCAGTAAAACCTTGAAATCAGCCCTAGCCTTAACAGGAAGCCAGTGGAGAGAGGCTAGCCCTGGTGTAATATGAATACCAACAAGGTATTCATTCCATTGCAGTAACATTATCTAAAGCTAAATGTCATCTTGGATGTCTAAAGACTGCTCTCTCTGTCTGCAGGTCTTTAAAACCTCCCTGCTTACCCGAGCATCCTGGCGAGGTTTAAGGGACATCTTATGTGGGCCTCATCAAGGGGAAAAAAGCTATTTTTTTTGGGTAGCTCACTGACTCACTTAAACTGCAGGAGAGTGAGCCAATGAAGGAGAGAAAGAGGGAGAAAGTACCTCTTGGCAGACATGGGCAGAGGCTGGTGTTGAGTAACTTGGAAAATCTGTTTATCAGAATACACGTAGCTAGGGGTGATGATTCACTCAAAGAGAATGTTACTTTATTGAAATCTGTTATGCATGGGGAGGACTTTCATATTCAGAAAGGAAAGCAAGCACATTTTTCTTATTTTTTCTAAAACATCTGGTGAAATTCCCTTCTCACAGCCTTCATCCACAGTACTCTGTTGTCAATAATTAGTTCAGTTCTTGTTGTATCCCCTCAGAGCTAGTCTGAGTCTGTCCAAATGTTTCCAGATGGGTGGAATATAGTTCTAACACTGTCAGATTACCTCACATGAGCAGCATGTGCTTCGTAACGGGGCTTTGCTGGGTCTAACTGTGTTCACAACATTCATTTCCCTGGTCCAGGCCAGATATAGTATGCATCATAGAACAACACATTTATGGTTAGGTTGCACATTAAAAGACAGTATGCCACTCCCTCAGTATTTTGTATTACTTTCCCCCTACTAATGTATACAGTACATGTTCATAAACATGAATTGTTCTTGAAAGAGCCGTCAAAGCCTAGACTAGAGGACAGGTTTCTCTGAGCCCTGCCATCAATCGTAATCGGTGTTGCGTGATTGTCCCTCAGCCATGCAGAAAACGAAGTGTCACGCTTGGAGACTGTCCTGCAACCCACCTGGCAAATTTCAGTCCCCCCCCTCAGATTTTTAGACTAGTAGACACATTATTCTGACAGACTAGTCTGTTTCCTTTCCAAAATCCTCACACAACTGATAGACAGAGTTACAAAGGACGATTTGTTCTAAATGAGGATTTTTGTGGCCATGAGTTTGTATTCTTCCTTTGCTCCATGCTAATGTATACATATATACAGGTGTTATAAAACAAAAAACACAGCCCATACAGTATATACATAAAGTGCAGCGCTGAGCATTTAGGTCTAGTTCTACGTTGAGCAATACAAATGTATACTTTTCAGACTGTGATATATTCTGCTCTGCTGAATCCATTTGAATGAAATGGCAGTCTCTTCCACTGTGCAGAGAGAGCATTTTTAAATCGGATATAGAAATGACTGGCTTTGAGCATTAGAGAACAAAGCCCATAGGGTATATACAAACCTACAGTACAGGGGGAGGGAGAGCTGCTCATTCTGAACACTAGGCAGGGACGTCTTAACGGAGGCCTTGAATATGGACATGTTGGTTAGCTGTCTGTCAGTAGAAACAGTGTGATGATGTGCTGTCTGGAATGTATGTGTCTCAGGCATATCCTGTCATGTTCCTGCTGTGCCTCTTAACTCTCATGGCGTTGCAGTTGATATGTCCTTGATGAAGTAGCAGCCTTGCTTTGGAGCGGCATGGTTCTGCTATTCGGATGACAGTTGATGAGGAGGCTTCTGTAAACTGAGAGTCTGAGTCATGTTGCCCCTGTGTGTTCCCTTGTAGCAGACAGAGGAGTGACATGGGACTGGGCAGGCTTTCATCGAAGCGCACCCGAGCTGAGGAAGTCATGCACCTGGCCGTGGTGGCCTGTGGGAACCGCCTGGACGAGACGCTCACCATGGTCAAGTCGGCCCTCCTCTTCAGCATCAAGAGGATCAAGTTCCACATTTTTGCAGAGGACCCCTTGGCCTCTCAGTTTGAAAAGGGGGTAAGTACCGTCAGGCAGGTACTAGAGTACATGATCTAGGCTTTAGGTACGGTATGTTTCTGGAAAAGTAACACTCTAATTCTCAAAAGATCAGCCTTTTTGAATATTTTCAAAGACTCATGCATATCTTGGTTGCTGGTCAGTAATATATTACATTTACTGCCAGATCTGAGCATGTTGAAAAAAAACACAGATTTATGCTTTTTGAACAGATTTATGCTCGCTTGCCCTCTTCAACATCTTACAGACATCAGACCCTTTTATCTCAAGGTCGATCGTGTATCACCCAGACATTTGTCTCACTGAATTACCTATGCAACATTTCAAAGTCACTTTTTAGTTTGTTTATTCACGATCCAAGCTTTACAAAGTCAATGTCTTAGGCTACTGTGTAGCTGTAAACCTAAAGGTATACATACCGGTAAACCAAAACAGCATGCATGCATGAGGCTACATGCCCTTTGGGTGTTTATGGAGTATGGTCTGTGTACCATGTGAGAACCTCCCCCATTATAATTGGTTTCATGCTAGCCAGGAAGTCGAGTTAGTTAAACCCTAAAATCAGTAGCATATGTGCAGGAGATGGAACGTTCTATGTCTGGCCTGCCTGCGCTGGTCAAAGAGGAGGTAGAAGCGAAGGGCTGAAAAGGGTTCTGGCCTCGTTGATCTGTGCACCTAGTCAACAGAAACCCTGCTAGCTCCTCACACTGATCTTTGTTTTGGGGCCAAATTGTTTAATAATGCTGCCGATTATGGAGGGCTTCAGTATCTAACAGAGCAGAAAATCATAGGCCTCTATGTGTGACAGCAGTGTTGACTTTGAGGGGGTAACCCTCAGGCTTGGACAGAATGGGCCTCAAATCTGCTACCTCATGTTTAGGTTAGTTTCACTGGGAGTTAGGCGTAGTTATAGCAACAGCTGGCAGCCTTATGGTCGATGTACAACACAACTGCACTTACTGTAAAGACATGACTTCATTGGTTTACAAGGACTTCCTTAGAGGTGTATGTAGACTTGAACTCTCAGGAGTGTATCATGTGTCAGAATAATGAATATTTCCGTTTGCTCTTTTAGTGATCACTCTCCCATACACCTCTTGACTCAACCTTTCGAGTTGCAGTTTTGTTACTTTGGAAGTTAGATATGAGACTTCCTGTGATGGCATCTTAAAATGGCTGTGTTACCTCTAACAGCTAATGATGATGGTGTCTAGTAACTTTGTGTGGTTTCTCTTTCAGCTGAGCCAGTGGGCCCGCGGTATCTCCAACAAGTTCCAGTACAGTATCTACCCAATCACCTTCTCTGTGGGGAATGCAGAGGAATGGAAAAAGCTGTTCAAGCCCTGCGCTGCCCAGAGGCTGTTTCTCCCTGTAAGGCTGCAGCACATCTTCTCTCTCACCTCTCTATGTACTATATCGTATTTATCAAACATATACACAGAGTCTTTCAAATGACAAATATATATTCATCAGCAAATGTGTTTAGATAATTGTCCAGGTCATCCGCTTCCTATTTCTGTTACACTCTGGGCTGCATCCTGACCCCAATGCATTTTCTATTAGATAGGTTTAGCTTAGTTTACACAAGCATATGAGTGATATACCCAGATAATAATAGTGTATATCCTTTATTATGGGTTTCACTTGTTATATTAAATTGGTATATAATCAATTACCTTAGCATGGTAATATATGGCTTTATTCATACCCATTGACCTTTACTTAACAAACCAGCAATCTCCAGAGATTGAATTCAATGGACATGCATATATATTTTTTTATGGACAATCTTTGAATCATCACAGTGTGCACACATTGCTTTGTCTTTGTACACATTGCATTGCACTGTTGTAAAAAGTGGTAAGCAATCCATGACTGCAATTTGATTGATTGGCAGATGATGCTACACAAACCATATACTTTGCAGGAGCCGAGTGATATTTGATTCTCATCAGGAACAGATTGCTTTGTGATTACTCTTCCCTCAAGCCATTGTATGTTTTGAGATGGCACATACTGTATGTATAATGGACTGTCACTGCAATAGGAGAAAATGACATATTCTGATTGTAACTTACACATTATGATTGTTGTGACAACAGGTGATCCTGAAGGATGTGGACTCTTTACTCTACGTGGATACAGACGTGCTGTTCCTCAGGCCCATGGATGATATGTGGAGTTTCCTCAAGGCCTTCAACACCACCCAGCTGGCTGCTATGGCCCCAGAGCATGAGATCCCCAAGATTGGCTGGTACAGCCGCTTCGCACGCCACCCCTTCTACGGGGTCACCGGGGTCAACTCAGGAGTCATGCTGATGAACCTCACAAGGATCCGAAGAACTTTGTTCAAAGTATGGAACATCATCAATCAATCAACCTTTTGGTCATATTCCCTATCCCATGTCACTCACTACTGAGCATTTCTGCCCTGTTGTCCACCTCTGAGTTGAAAGCTGTAAGGAGAGTAGTTGTATCAGTCAATCATATCTATCTGAAGCCAGCCAGCTTAAGATATGTCACTTATTGGCACTCCGTCTCAACAGTCTGAGTGCTCAATGTAGTGGAGGCCATGATTAAGGCTCTGTGATTGCCACACTCACATTAGAGCAGTGCTTCAGCACAATCAAGCTCATATTGGGATCTCCCTTCATCTAAGAAGGAGCAGTTTGCTCCTTTCAAATTGGGCATAGTGTAAGAATTGTAGCTGCTATTTAGGCTGTGGAGTAAACCAGTCCCTGTTCCTATTCCAGAACAGCATGATACCCAGTGGCCTGTCATGGGAGGACCTCCTCCACCCACTCTACCAGAAGTACAAGAACCACATCACTTGGGGCGACCAAGACCTCCTCAACATTATCTTCCACTACAATCCAGGTACACTCTGCCAACCCACAAATAAGAAAATAAAATGGCAAATAATTTCACCGCCATTCATGTTGACAGCAAGAGCTGTACTTAGGCCTGCATCAATTTAAAATGTTTCCCCAAAACGTGAATCCATGGGTGTTTGCATAAATGTCAGCTTGTATGGAACTCAATACAATTCCTTCAGGCAGGTGTAGTTATTGGTTTTCCTGCTCTAATACAACCACATGAAAGAACTCTCTTAAATGAGGTAAATGCTGTGGAACGAAACAAACCTGCGGCTGCAGCAGCAGATTCAGTCACAGGTACTAAGTGTTCCAAGCCTGAAGTAGACTTGGCTGGAGCATTGTTTGTCTGACAACATGAATGGAACCTGTCTAGTAAACAAGCATATCCCTAGCAGCATCCCCAAATATTTTTTTATTTGAAAAAGGGCCATGTGCAGGGAGCAGCCAGTCACTGTGTACTATCTGCCTCCACCATGGAAAGACTTCAGTCCCTGGCATGTCTGATCTTTCTCCTTTTATGTCTGCCCTCAACCTGGTCACAGAGCATTTAGTATTATTCTGTATGTAAATCAGAGAAACTCCATTTAGTATGATATGTTACGTTATTTAAGACATATGGTTACTTAAGGCAGAAACGAAAGTGGGGTGGATGGGTGGGCGTATAACGCAAACGTCTAGCAACTCAAAGGTTGCGAGTTCAAATCTCATCACGGACAGCTTTAGCATTTTAGTTCATTATCAACTACTTACTACTTTTTAGCTACTTTGCAACTACTTAGCTAACCCTTCCCCTTTAACCTAACTCCTAAACTTAACCCTAACACCTAACCCATCTAGCAACCCAATGGTTGCGAGTTCAAATCTCATCACGGACAATTTTGGATTTTAGCTAATTACCAACTTTAACTACTTACTACTTTTCAACTACTTAGCTAACCCTAACTTAAACCCTTTCCCTAACCATTTAACTTAACTCCTAAACTGAACACTAACCCCTAGCTACCTAGCTAGAATTCGTAACCTATCATATGTTTGGCAAATTCTCATAATATTGTACATTTAGCAAATTCGTAAAATAATACGAAATGTAATTTGTAACATATCATATACGAAATAGGTGATGGACATCCACAAATGAATACATACTATACAAAACATAACATATCATACTACATGGAGTGTCTAGGATTTACTTACAGAATAATACGAAATGCTCTGAGACTAGGTTGCTGCCCTTGTTTCTGGTTTAAGGGGATTCTCCATTGGTGTTTCTCCCTTCCCAAGTCAAGATTTAATGCATTTTTAAAAGGACTAGAATCCTTTTAGTTGTGAAGCAAGCCATTTGATAATTGACATGTTTTGGGATCAGCAAAACATGAGGTCTGAACGATTATCATTGTATGTTGAAGTCATTAGGTTTCTTTTTTCTGTCTTTGGTAGTTTTTTCAATATTGGTGTCACAGTATGCACTGTGGTAAGCTTTGGGACATTGTGCAGAAATCTGATGTAACAGACATGTAATGGTGTGTTCCTGTGTTTGCAGAGTGTCTGTACACCTTCCCATGCCAGTGGAACTACAGGCCTGATCACTGCATGTATGGGAGCAACTGTAAAGGAGCGGAACAGGAAGGCGTGTCCATTCTCCACGGCAACCGAGGAGTGTATCACGATGACAAACAGCCAGCCTTTAAAGTAGTGTATGATGCAATACATGAGGTAAGAATAATCTATTCATTTGAGTAGATTGTTTCACTAAAAACTGCAAGTTTCTTTACTAGATTGCCGGTTACATCCTCTGGGACAAAGGCAACAAAATGAAGGGGGAGGCGCTCAGAAAATGATCAACCTTGGTATTAAATCCTTCTGTCCTTTGTCCTTTTCTCTCCTTGGAAATGCTGTGGAAATGTTAACATATGGAAATCCTTGTCTCACAGCAACATCAGCCCCCTCTGCTGCCCACAGATAAGCCTTTTATTAACCAGACAATATGATTCATATCCATCCCCTTCTATAGTACCTACAGTAAGCCAATGGCACAGTTGATTTATAAGAGGTTTGATAAGCTACCACTACTGGTGTCTAACCCTGAGGCATGCAATGGTTCTGTTTTACAGTACCCCTTTGAGGACAACTTGTTCCAGTCACTGTTCTATCCCCTCCAGACCAAGTTTCTGGACACCGTCAACACCCTGTGTGGTCGGATTCCCCAGGTGTTTCTCAAACAGGTAGAGAAGACCATGAGGACCATGTACGAGAAGAAAGTGGTCCGTCATGTGAAGCCTCCACCTAAATAACTACAGGAAACTGGATAGAGGAAGTTATTTCTGACATCCCTATGGGAATCTTTCTGTGGAAGATGTGCAATGTCAGGAGTCCCCAGACCAGACTGCCATATTATGACTTTGACAGAACTAGTCTGGAAACCGATTGATGGAATCAGAATGCGTTGCACGGTGTCTGTAACACACAGCGGATCACAAATGACATTCCATTTGATTGGAATGGTGGTATGGATCATGATGGTCATGTAGAAGGACAGGCATACAGTGCTGGTCAATGATGCTGTGTGTGGGGTAAGCTTGCCTGATCACCCACTTATTTTTTTTACATAACCTGATTTATAGGTGAAAATGTGATGATAAACTTCGTGATTTGTTTTATACTTTTTTTAAAGTCCAATGCTTTCTTGAGTTCAGGATAAGTCCTGGTGGAGAGTATTATGTGGGAATTTATTTTGTTTTTCTCTTAAAATATGCATGAACGTGTCTGCCGTAATGCCTTTATACCAGAGGCTTCTGGAAATGGTTTGAAATTATCCCACTCTGCCTGAAGGTTGGCGCCTAATTGATCCTTTTATGTCAAGCAAAGCTAATGGGCCTTTGCTTAACCAGAGCTTTCTGTCAAAGACAAAATCACTTGCATATCTGTACATGTGGGAATGAGTGAATGTGATTAAACTTGTCCAGTTCTCCAATGCCAGCGACAGTATTAAACACAGTATCATGAACATATCATACACTAGAAATTACCATTTAATATTTTGTATAGAAGATGTGTAGCCAAATGCCCTATTGCAGGGGTAGGCAACCCTGTTCCTGGCACTTCATGTTTTTGCTTTAGCTGACCTGGAAGACCAGGTGTGTTGAATTTATGCAATCACTGAAGTGATCAATTAGGTCAGGTGTGGTGCCTAGTTGGAACAAATTCCTGCAGTTTCTGCGGCACTCCAGGAACTGGGTTGCCTACCCCTGCCCTATTGATTGCTGTAATAGTTTGACTTGTGCAATTAGGACAGGGCATGCATACCATTTCTCCCCTATTCAATTGTCAAAGTATTGCAAATCCCTATATGAAAAAGCAGTGTAGTTGTCTCAGATCAACTGCCAAAGTGCTAGCGCTTATAATAGTGGGACTGTATTTTCAAAACAATATGTGCCATGTGTATTCATAAATGCTCTTAAATGTTATGTTTGTTTTTGTGCAAGAAAAGGACAGCAAACTTAATGAAAAAGTGTCTTGCTATAAATGTCATACTATCAGTGATATGTGGACTCGGGACAATAAACGCAAGGATTTATAATGTGACGTTTGTGTAGCCTACTCCATCAGTTGTCATGTGTCTTTACCGGTAATCATTTAAACTGGAAACTCTATTTGGTTGTATTTATACGTGCTTATGTTTACTCTTTGTTTCAGAATAAAGATAATATGCCAACAGTTCTGTGTCTATATTAGTGTAACATAGGATATGCAGAGCCTTGCAGCTATAGATTCAAGACATTGAAATAAAACATGCAAGGGACACTAGAGTTGATTGTCAGATGTATGCTTATCTTGAAGTACATAACGTGAAGAAAGCATGGCAATTAGCAAGGTAATGATTTTTAGAGGCTTGGTTATTATAGAAGAAACCCTCCAGCTTGAAGATGCTGGCATGTGTGTTTGGAAAGTATTCAGACCCCTTCACTTTTCCCACATTTTGTTACGTTACAGCCTTATTCTAAAGTTGATTTAATTACATTTTCCCCTCAATCTACACACAATACCCCATAATGACAAAGTGAAAAGTTTTTTTTATGTTTGCAAATTTATAAAAAATAAAACATACCTTATTTACATAAGTATTCAGACCCTTTGCTATGAGACTCCAAATTGAGCTCAGGTGCATCCTGTTTCCATTGATCATCCTTGAGATGTTTCTACAACTTGATTGGAGTCCATCTGTGGTAAATTCAATTGATTGGACATTATTTGGAAAGGCACACACCTGCCTACAGTGCATTCAAAGTATTCAGACCCCTTGACTTTTTCCACATTTTGTTAAGTTACAGCCTTATTCTAAAATGGATTAAATAGGGTTTTTTCATCAATCTACACACAAAACCCCATAATGACAAAGCAAAGACATGTTTTTAGAAATGTTTGCAAATGTATTAAAAATAAAAAACGGATATTACATTTACATAAGTTTTCAGACCCTTTACTCAGTACTTTGTTGAAGCACCTTTGGCAGCGATTACAGCCTTGAGTCTTCTTGGGTATGACGCTACAAGCTTGGCACACCTGTATTTGGGGAGTTTCTCCCATTCTTCTCTGCAGATCCTCTCAAGCTCTGTCAGGTTGGATGTAGAGCGTTGCTGCACAGCTATTTTCAGGTCTCTCCAGAGATGTTGGGTTCAAGTCCGGGCTCTGGCAGGGCCACTCAAGGACATTCAGAGACTTGTCCCGAAGCCACTCCTGCGTTGTCTTGGCTTTGTGCTTAGGGTCGTTGTCCTGTTGGAAGGTGATCCTTCGCCCCAGTCTGAGGTCCTGAGCGCTCTGGAGTAGGTTTTCATCAAGGATCTCTCTGTACTTTGCTCCGTTCATCTTTCCCTCAATCCTGACTAGTCTCCCAGTCCCTGCCGCTGAAAAACATCCCCACAGCATGATGCTGCCACCACCATGCTTTACGGTAGGGATGGTGCCAGGTTTCCTCCAGACATGACGCTTGGCATTCAGGCCAAAGAGTTCAATATTGGTTTCATCAGACCAGAGAATCTTGTTTCTCATGGTCTGAGAGACCTGTAGGTGCCTTTTGGCTAACTCCAAGCGGGCTGTCATGTGCCTTTTATTGAGGAGTGTCTTCCGTCTGGCCACTACCATAAAGGCCTGATTGGTGGAGTGCTGCAGAGATGGTTGTCCTTCTGGAAGGTTCTCCCATCTCCATAGAGGAACTCTAGAGCTCTGTCAGAGTGACCATCGGGTTCTTGGTCACCTCCCTGACACAGGCTCTTCTTCCCCGATTGCTCAGTTTGGCCGGGTGGCAAGCTCTAGGAAGAGTCTTGGTGGTTCCAAACTTCTTTAATTTAAGAATGTTGGAGGCCACTGTGTTTATGCAGACCTTCAATGCTGCAGACACCCTTCCCCAGATCTGTGCCTCAACACAATCCTGTCTCGGAGCTCTACGGACAATTCCTTCGACCTCATGGCTTGGTTTTTGCTCTGACATGCACTGTCAACTGTGGGATTGAACTCTTTGGCCTGTATGCCAAGCGTCACATCTGGAGGAAACCAGGCACCGCTCATCACCTGGCCAATATCTTCCCTATGGTGAAGCATGGTGGTGGCAGCGTCATGCTGTGGGGATGTTTTTCAGCGGCAGGGACTGGGAGACTAGTCAGGATCGAGGGAAACAGGAAAGGAGCAAAGTACAGAGAGATCCTTGATGAAAACCTGCTCCAGAGCACTCAGGACCTCAGACTGGGGCGAAGATTCACCTTCCAACAGGACAAAGACCCTAAGCACATAGTCAAGACAACGCAGGAGTGACTTCCGGACAAGTCTCTGAATGTCCTTGAGTGGCCCAGCCAGAGCCCGGACTTGAACCCGATTGAACATCTCTGGAGAGACCTGAAAATAGATGTGCAGCGACGCTCCCGATCCAACCTGACAGAGCTTGAGAGGAACTGCAGAGAAGAATGGGAGAAACTCCTTAAATACAGGTGTGCCAAGCTTCTAGCGTCATACCCAAGAAGACTCTAGGCTGTAATCGCTGCCAAAGGTGCTTCAACATAGTCCTGAGTAAAGGGTTTGAATACTGATGTAAATGTGATATCAGTTTTATAATATACATTTTTTTATTTGCAAAAAAATCTAAAAACCTGTTTTTGCTTTGTCATTATGGTGTATTGTGTGTAGATTGATGAGGAAAAAAAAAACAATTTAATCTGAATACTTTCCAAATGCAATGTAATTATTTTAATGTTCAATGTACAGTTCAGCTATGGTTTCATAACCATTTAGCAGGTAACTTTACAGATGAGTAATTATAGTAGTAGTAATCTGGTACTTTGTCAAGTGTTTTTTTTTTCTTCCTCCAGTGGTCCATAGATGCGGTTGAGAAAGATTTTTTAAACTAAACCAAGATAGACCACAGATTTTCATTTCCAATGGGAACAAATTAGTAATAGCTCAATTGGTAGAGCGTGGCGCTTGTAACGCCAGGGTAGTGGGTTCGATCACCGGGACCACCCATACGTAAAAATGTATGCACACATGACTGTAAGTCGCTTTGGATAAAAGCGTCTGCTAAATAGCATATTATATTATTACAGTGGGCAGAACAAGCAAGGAGGTGGGCACTAGCGATATCCTATTGGCGCGTTCTAGTAAACATCTGCATATTTCTGTTAGGGAACACCTACTCTAAAGTGCGCGTGTGCAATAACTCACTTAGCCTTTGCACTCCTAAACGGCGCGATTTTTAAAAATGTTTCCAAAGGGTAAAGTCTACAAAACTTAGTCCACTGTTCATAACAGATTCTAGTTTTGGGAACAGAAAACTGTATTGAGATCAAATGTTTAATCGATGACTGTTGGCCAAAATCCATCACATATTTGTTAGTGAGTGGAAACGCCAACCGGATGCTTCACATTTATACATCCAGTGAAATATCTGTCTCATTGTTCTATCTGTGGTAGAGAGGTCAATCGAACTCGACCTAAACAATATAATTGCCATGGAAACGAAGGAGGAAAGGGCCGTGGGTCGAGAGATCCTGAGTCGCCTCATTGCCCCCCAGCAAAATTAGCCTACATTTAGGCTATTGTTTATGTGTATTTCACACTACGTTGAGGTAAAAAATCGGAGTATGATGCTTTTATGGATGTCAACCCCGGCACTTTTTCATGTCATCGTTAACAATCAACTGCATTACAGTTAAAAACGGCATTGACTACCACCACCGATTTCTGTATGCTAGCTACGCTAACCAGTTCTTCTAAACCTGAAAATGGACCACTTGTATATGTTATACAGCCAAAAACAGTATATCCAAATTGGACTTTAGTAACCACATTGTGGGGTCTGTTACAATACATACATCATAACGGATTTGAAGAAAATCCACTTTGTTAGATGAGATTTGTTGAATGTGCGCCCATCTGATCAACGTCTGCGTTCCGTTGATCCTTTACTTAATCTATTGTGCAACTTGTTGAACTGCAGCATACTCCCTGTACTTTCTGCGTTCTGAATCTGATCCGCAGTGACCTCACGAGCGCCATATTAAAACGCTTCTTCTTCCCCTCACATGTTGTGGATCTGGGATCCTTTGGACGTCCTTGCCCTAAACCCTAACCAAAGACTTGTATAACTAAACCTAAATCTCATTGTTCTATCTGTCCCTAACTCTTACCTAACCTTAAAACGTATCTTAACCATTTTACATTTCAACTTCAATGGGGTAGTGACGTCCCAAGGATCCCAAATAGCACGGATCCACTTTTTTTGTGTGTTGAACGCAGCCACCGCTAGTCTGCCTCTTGCTCCCAGACTGACAGAGGACAACAACATGATGGAAATTGACTCACTCCAAGAGGCGCTCAAAGGTTTTTGGGGTTCTTAAGAATAGCATAATACTTAAAGAAAGTCAGACTTTTTGTTTTACTTTATTCTACGCTACAGTGGTTATATTGCCAGAAGGTGTTGAATGTAGCTAACGTTAGCTAGCTATAAGCGAATGTTAGCTAGTCAGCTAATGCTAACATTCGGAAGAATAAGCAATGTTGCTAACTAACGTTATTCCCTCTTTAGCTTAAAGGCAGCTAGCTATCAATTCTCAAACCTCCAGAGGTTTATATATTGATTTCTGGATTCAGCAATTTAGCTAGTTAGAATGATGGTTTTGACAACTCCATCACCGCACAGCTAACATTAGCTTAGCTAGCTGACGTTAGCAAACTAATGAACTGATTAAGTTAGCTACCGGTAGTTAGCAATTATGTATACACCATTGGTAGTTAGCTACCATTTCCAGTTAGTTGGATTGTGAGCTTTTCTATTGACTACGACGTTAGTTAGCTAACTAGCTAGTAAGACAATATAATCAAAGTAAGCCTAGCTAACGTTAACTGTTGATGTTATGTAGCCAACTGGCAAGTTGGCCAGCGAGCTAGCTAACATGCTAGCTTGCAAGTTTGAGTTCACTTAACCTGGCCAATGGCCACAATTAGCTAGCTCGCTGGGTAGTTCGTTATAAAGGACAACAGTTTATGAGAACACAATTAAAATTCGCAGTTGGTGTCACTGTTAGTTAGCAAGCTAGCTAACCCGATCATCCACATTTGGCATTTTCCTGTCTGGAGCTGGTGAGCTAGCTAAATGGCTAAACACACTGCCAATGTTGTAGTCACACGTCTTCATTAACGTTAGTTAGTTAACGTCAATGGTTTCATAAGCAAGCCAATCTATCACTAAGTTCACTGCTCTGTTGTGCTAACTGACTTGATATCACTGTTCTCTTTAGACTTTGACAATAAAGGGAAGAAAGAAGTGGCTCCCCTGCTGGACCAGTTTCTGTGTCATGTTGCGAAGACTGGAGAAACCATGTAAGGAATGTTCCTATTGACAAGCTTGTAGCTACAGATATCATGCATATGAGAGGATGAAGCATGCTAACTTGAACACCACTGGTTCAAATTATGGAATAGGCCTAGTCATAGATCATGCCTGGTCTTCTCATCTGCATGTGCTATATTACTTTTGTTAAGAGATCTGTACTCTGTCTTTCTCCAGTGTTCAGTGGTCCCAGTTTAAAAGCTATTTCCTCTTCAAACTGGAGAAGGTGATGGACGACTTCAAAGCCTCAGCACCCGATCAAAGGAGGGTAGCCAATCCCAATGTGGAGTCCATTCCATTTGAGGACATGAAGGAGAGGATACTGAAGATTGTGAATGGATACAATGGGTAGGTACAATCATGTCATGCCGTCTAAAGAGTTAACCATTGCTGACTTTGTGGTGGTTATACAATGGCGCCATCTACTGGAGAGGCATTTATAGATGTCACATGTACTGTAGTGCTTAATGGCAACCAAATTGTAAACACACATCTCATTATTGTTTATTTTATACCTATCGAATATCACTTTTTTTCTTGAGCTAGCCTTACGTCAGGTTTATTTTAATAAACTCCTTACTTGCTGTCTTTCCCTCAGAATTCCATTTACGATCCAGCGTTTGTGTGAGCTGCTTACAGAACCCAAGAGGAATTACACAGGGACAGAGAAATTCCTCAGAGGTGTTGAGAAGGTGAGTGGAGTGCCATGTCTGTTTAGGAGCAGTTGTGCAGTGTTAGATTTGTATAGTCTGTATATGTTATATAGTATCAATTAAATAGTATTTCTATTCTAGGTTTTTAATGAAGGGTTTTTCTTCTTCCAGAATGTGATGGTGGTCAGCTGTGTGCATCCTACTTCAGAGTAAGTGTTGTTTTTGTTCTTATTTTACAAAGAGGTGGTTCGTTGTATTTATACTGAACAAAAATATAAATGCAACATGCAACAATTTCAATGATTTTACAGAGTTACAGTTCATATAAGGAAATCAGTCAATTTAAATAAGTTCATTAGGCCCTAATCTATGGATTTTCACGACCGGGCAGGGGCGCAGCCATGGGTGGGCCTGGGAGGGCATAGGCCCACCCACCGGGGAGCTGGCCCAGCCAATCAGAATGAGTTTTCCCCCACAAAAGGGCTTTATTACAGACAGAAATACTCCTCAGTTTCATCAGCTGTCCGGGTGGCTGGTCTCAGACGATCCCGCAGGTGAAGAAGCCGTTTGTGGAGGTCCTGGGCTGGCGTGGTTACACGTGGTCTGCGGTTGTGAGGCCGGTTGGAAGTACTGCCAAATTCTCGAAAACGACATTGGATGCAGCTTATGGTAGAGAAATGAACATTAAATTATCTGGCAACAGCTCTGGTGGACATTCCTGCAGTCAGCATGCCAATTGCACGCTCCGTCAACTTGAGAAATCTGTGACATTGTGTTGTGTGACGAAACTACACATTTTAGTGGCCTTTTATTGTCCCGAGCACAAGGTGCACCTGTGTAATGATCATGCTGTTTAATCTGCTTCTTGATATGCCACACCTGTCAGGTGGATGGATTATCTTGGCAAAGGAGAAATGCTTACTAACAGGGATGTAAACAAATTTGTGCACAAAATTTGAGAGAAATAAGCTTTTTGTGCGTAAGGAACATTTCTGGGATCTTTTATTTCAGCTCATTTATATTTTTGTTACTGTATAGTTTATATGAAGTAAAATATGTTCGGAATTACTCTATGTTTCTCTCTGTCATGAAGGAAAAACGGATGCAGTGGTGTGAATAGAATGAATGGTGTTATGTTGCCTGGGAACTCATCTGCTTTTACAGAGAGGTAAAGCTCAAATGACAGGTTCCTATTTTCTCACCCTAGTTTCATGTCAGTGATAATTGCCTAAAAGTAAATGTGAAAAGTAAACCACTCACATTTCTTACGCTCTTTCACTCTTCCTCTATTTTCTTGCAGGAAAGTGAATGGCCCAGGGACCCCCAGGCCGCTGAACAGACCAAAGCTCTCTCTAGCGACAAACGGCCTACCGGACAGTACAGAAAACAAAGACCCTACCACAGAGCAGGGACACGACAAACCCTCCAGGTACTTCAGTTGCTACCCAACAGACGGTGTGATACTCACTTCCTACGTTTCTTTTGATGAATTGAATGTGTGATGAATCTTCTCTTTCTCAGTGAGGTGTCGGCATCAAGTACCCTGGGGAGCTCTGTGAAGAACAAGCACCATGACGACGATGAAGAGGAGGATATGGAGGCGGAGCAACACGAGGTGAAGAGGCTCAAGTTCAACGAGGAGGATGAAGAGGAGGAGGGGGACACCCTCAGACCCGGCCACACTGACAGTTTGTCGAAAGAGGCAGAGTCCATGGTCCAGGAGGAGGAGGAGGATGACGACAAGAAGAAAAGTGAGGCTCCCAGTACTGCTGGGACTTGTGAAGACCAAGGTAGGATGGTTTTTTCACTCTTTTTTTCCTCTTCTTTTTTATCGCATCATGCCGACATCCATTGCTGGTAAAATCCTTTGTGGATATTAGTAAGTGTATGAGCAGAACCAGGAGTTGCCTGATTTGGCAGAACTCTGAGGTGTTCAAAGCAGGTTCAGCTTATTTGCGTGCCAGATCTACAGCAACCCCTTATGCAGTTAACATTCCTAACTCTATTTTTGTGTCCTTGCCTGTCCCACAGAGCCATCGAGCACACAGTTGGAGCCATCAGCAGACCCCGGGGAGAACGAGCAGGCAGAGAGGGAGGTTCCTTGTGGCTCCCAAGAGGAATGTAATGACATGGACCAGTCAGAACAGCAGGCCCCTGCTGGCGTCCTGGAGAGCCCTGAGGCCCGGGACAGCGATGAGGGCAGTGACCCAGTCAGCAGCAGCAGCAGTAGCGTCAGCAGCAGTAGCAGTGAGGAGATCGGAGCCAGGAAAGAGAGAGCCCCTGCTCCCTCCAGCAGTACTCCTGAGCCACCTGCAGAGGGCGCCATGGAGAGCGGCAGCCTGGACACGGGGACCAGTGAGGAGCCCATGGAGCAGGACTAGGACCTCAGCATCCATCTGACTATTTAGAACATCTGTCCTCAAGTCCAGCTTGAGTGTCACCGGTGAAGGGGATGCACCATCCTGGTCCCCTAGATACTTTACGCCTTGTCAAAATTTTGGGCACTCCTCAAAATGACCACCTGATGTGGGCATAAACATTTTATTTTGAATCAAATATTTTTAAACTGGATTTCCTTTTTTCTACACTATTTCTGAGTTTCATTTTAAGGCTTGTGGTCTCTAGAGGTTTTTGTTTCAGCCTTGATCAGTCTTTGGAGTTGCAAATGATGTTTGTTGTAGATGTGCTGATAGGACGGGGTGTTCATCTGGCAATTGTTTTCCCTCATCAGTTTAAGCTTTTGGCAGGAAAGGTAAAGCAGGCAGTTTTGTTCCTGTAGCCAGTTTCTCTCTGTGGATTATCACCCCAGCCACACCAGAGTCGAGACAAAGCTATCCCCGCTAATTAACTTCCTCATTATTTATGCCGTCAGTTACTCACTCCAGCAATGAACTAGCTAGAATCATTTATGTTTCTGACTGCAGCACAAGCCTTAGCATTGGGTGCCGATGACATGGATGTCGATTATGGCAGCCCCCCCGCACCTCTCTGAGGGGTGGGGTTAAATGCGGAAGACATTTCAGTTGAATGCAGGTAGCGGCAGGGGCGGCAGGTAGCTTAGTGGTTAAGAGTGTTGTGCCAGTAACCGAAAGGTCGCTGGTTCTAATCCCCGAGCCGACTAGGTGAAAAATCTGTTGATGTGCCCTTGAGCAAGGCACTTAACCCTAATTGCTCCTGTAAGTCGCTCTGGATAAGAGCGTCTGCTAAATGACTAAAATGTAAATGTAAAATGTTGTACAACTGACTAGGTATTTCCCTTTCCCATACCACTGTTTTTACTCGTGCCGCCATCTTGGTTGTTGAGAAAAGGTATCTTTCCATGTTTGTTTATTATATAAAAAAACAAAAAAAACATCAATTTTCCTTGTAAGATGGGAGTATTGAAATAGATTTTCGATATGTGTCCTTTTTCTCCTTTTTAAATGCATCTATTTTCTTTGCTATGATACACTACCGACCCAACTCAGAGTAATATAACATGCTACCTTTACCTTAAAATGTAACATATCATTTGGGGTGCATTGAACCATAATTTATCAACATTTCAACTCAATTACTTATTTTGGAAAATATGTTTTTTGGCAGGCAGTTATTTAGTTTCCAAAACCAGCTGTAAGTACAAAGATGACTTCCGCTTTGTATTGTGATGTCACCAAGTTGTTTCACTGACAGATATCCAGAGCATCTACTGGTTACCAGCTTTACACCTGTTTCTGCAGCTGTACTTTTTGATATGTAGAATTTTAAATTTCTGTAAAGTAGATTTTTGTAGATTGTAATACAGTATATGTTCACTGCCTTTGTGAAACCATATATAATTGTATAGTTTGTGTATACTCTGAATGATTGGGCTTTCAATGCGGTATTCAGATAAAGCAATAAATGTAACATTTTTTGTGGTCATGCTTTCTTACCTGAGGCATTCCATCTATTCCACTGAGCTGCTCTAAAAGGCTTTTGCATGTTCACCTTCCTGATTATCAGATCACCTCTTATGTAATGACATCTTAACACCTCTGCAGACTTATTCTAATAAATGTGTTGTTGAAAACAACGTGAGCTTTTTAAGCCAGTTAGCCATTATGTAGTCAAATGCTCAGTTCAAGGCTTACACTGATTACTCTGCCACACATTCCCAATCAGATTGATATGTCACGTTTGAACACGTAGTTCCGGTTGTACTATGTGTCCCTATTGCGCTAATATGAAATCCCGCTACGCCCTCCGATGAAGCGCAAATACAGGATCGAATCCTACTACACCTACTCTGACGCAGGGCTTGCAAACTATCACAGATTACAAAGGGAAACCCAGCCGCGAGCTGCCCAGTGATGCAAGCCTACCAGTCAAGCTAAATGTCTTCTACGCTCGCTTCGATGCGATGCCACCACCACTGAACCATGCATGAGAGCACCAGCTGTTCCGAATGACTGTGATCACACGCTGTAGCCGATGTAAGACCTTTAAACAGGTTAACATTCAGACAGATTACCAGGACACGAACTCGGAGCATGTGCTGACCAGCTGTCAGGTGTCTTCACTGACATTTTCAACCACTCCCTGACCCAGTCTGTAATACCTACATGTTTCAAGCAGACCACCATAGTCTCTGTGCCCAAGAATGCCAAGGTATCCTGTCTAAATGACTTTAGCCCTGTAGCATTCACATCTTTAGGCATGAAATGCTTTGAAAGGCTGGTCATGGCTCCCATAAACACCGTCATTCCAGACACCCTGGACCCACTCCAATTTGCATATCACCTCAACAGATCCAAAGATGACACAATCTCTTGCACTTCACACCTGGACAAGAGGAAAATCTATGTGAGAATGCTGTTAATTGACTACAGCTCAGTGTTCAACACCGTAGTGCCCTCCAAGCTCATCACTAAGCTAAGGACCCTGGGACTGAACACCTCCCTCTTCAACTGGATCCTGGACTTACTGACAGGGCGCCCCCAGCTGGTGAGGGTAGGCAACAACACATGCACCACGCTGACCCTCAACACGGGGTCCCTCAGGGATGCATGCTTAGTCCCCTTCTGTACTTCCTGTTCACTCACAACTGCACGACTCCAACACCATCATTAAGTTTGTCAACAACACGACGTGGTAGGCCTGATCACCGACGACGATGAGACAGCCTTTAGGGAGGAGGTCAGAGACCTGGCAGTGTGGTGCCAGGACAACAACCTCTCCTTCAACGTCAGCAAGACGAATGAGCTGATTGTGGACTACAGGAAACGGAGGACCGAGCAGGCCCCCATTCACAGCAACAGATCTGTAGTGGAGCGGGTCGAGAGCTTCAAGTTCCTCGGTGTCCACATCACTAAGGATCTATCATGGTCCAAACACACCAACACAGTCGTGAAGAGGGCATAACAACGTCTCTTCCCATTCAGGAGGCTGAAAAGATTTGGCATGGGCCCTCAGATCCTCAAAAAGTTTTACAGCTGCACCATTGAGAGCATCTTGACTGGTTGCATCACTGCTTGGTATGGCAACTGCTTGGCATCCAACCGCAAGGCACTACAGAGGGTAGTGCATACAGGGTCGAGCTCCCTGCCATCAAGGACCTCTATACCAGGCGGTGTCAGAGGAAGGCCCTAAAAATTGTCAAAGCCTCCAGTCACCCAAGTCATAGACTCTCTCTGCTATCGCATGGCAAACGGTACCAATGCACCAAGTCTGGAACAGACAGGACCCTGAACCGCTTCTACCCCAAGCCATAAGACTGCTAAATAGTTAGTTAAATAGTTAACCAAATACCTACCCGGACTATCTGCATTGACCCTTTTTGCACCAACTTTTTTGACTTATCACATACGCTGCTGCTACTGTTTATTATCTGTCACTTTATTCCTAGTTATACAGTGGGGGAAAAAAGTATTTAGTCAGCCACCAATTGTGCAAGTTCTCCCACTTAAAAAGATGAGAGAGGCCTGTAATTTTCATCATAGGTACACGTCAACTATGACAGACAAAATGAGAATTTTTTCCCCAGAAAATCACATTGTAGGATTTTAATGAATTTATTTGCAAATTATGGTGGAAAATAAGTATTTGGTCAATAACAAAAGTTTCTCAATACTTTGTTATATACCCTTTGTTGGCAATGACACAGGTCAAACGTTTTCTGTAAGTCTTCACAAGGTTTTCACACACTGTTGCTGGTATTTTGGCCCATTCCTCCATGCAGATCTCCTCTAGAGCAGTGATGTTTTGGGGCTGTCGCTGGGCAACACGGACTTTCAACTCCCTCCAAAGATTTTCTATGGGGTTGAGATCTGGAGACTGGCTAGGCCACTCCAGGACCTTGAAATGCTTCTTACGAAGCCACTCCTTCGTTGCCCGGGCGGTGTGTTTGGGATCATTGTCATGCTGAAAGACCCAGCCACGTTTCATCTTCAATGCCCTTGCTGATGGAAGGAGGTTTTCACTCAAAATCTCACGATACATGGCCCCATTCATTCTTTCCTTTACACAGATCAGTCGTCCTGGTCCCTTTGCAGAAAAACAGCCCCAAAGCATGATGTTTCCACCCCCATGCTTCACGGTAGGTATGGTGTTCTTTGGATGCAACTCAGCATTCTTTGTCCTCCAAACACGACGAGTTGAGTTTTTACCAAAATGTTCTATTTTGGTTTCATCTGACCATATGACATTCTCCCAATCCTCTTCTGGATCATCCAAATGCACTCTAGCAAACTTCAGACGGGCCTAGACATGTACTGGCTTAAGCAGGGGGACACGTCTGGCACTGCAGGATTTGAGTCCCTGGCGGCGTAGTGTGTTACTGATGGTAGGCTTTGTTACTTTGGTCCCAGCTCTCTGCAGGTCATTCACTAGGTCCCCCCGTGTGGTTCTGGGATTTTTGCTCACCGTTCTTGTGATCATTTTGACCCCACGGGGTGAGATCTTGCGTGGAGCCCCAGATCGAGGGAGATTATCAGTGGTCTTGTATGTCTTCCATTTCCTAATAATTGCTCCCACAGTTGATTTCTTCAAACCAAGCTGCTTAACTATTGCAGATTCAGTCTTCCCAGCCTGGTGCAGGTCTACAATTTTGTTTCTGGTGTCCTTTGACAGCTCTTTGGTCTTGGCCATAGTGGAGTTTGGAGTGTGACTGTTTGAGGTTGTGGACAGGTGTCTTTTATACTGATAACAAGTTCAAACAGGTGCTATTAATACAGGTAATGAGTGGAGGACAGAGGAGCCTCTTAAAGAAGAAGTTACAGGTCTGTGAGAGCCAGAAATCTTGCTTGTTTGTAGGTGACCAAATACTTATTTTCCACCATAATTTGCAAATAAATTCATAAAAGATCCTACAATGTGATTTTCTGGAAAAAGAATTCTCAATTTGTCAGTCATAGTTGACGTGTACCTATGATGAAAATTACAGGCCTCTCTCATCTTTTTAAGTGGGAGAACTTGCACAATTGGTGGCTGACT